ACACCCCTACGACCCAGGAGCGCTTTGCCTTTTCGGCACCTGCTGGAACGACCAGGAAGTTCCCTCTCCGATTGAGATCCCATCTGCATGTGTCGTCACCTGGAAGCATGGGGGTGGCTGGTGCGTGCACGCAACAACGAGCACGACACAAGGCGAGGTTGCCAAAGCATACGAGGAGGGGCGCGCCGCGTGGGGTTATTGAAACAGACGACTGCTTGAGATCCTTCATTTGGATTTTAAAGTTGTTTTGCTTGATGTTGCCGAAATGTAATTCTTCTTTTCGGTGTACGGCTCTACCTGTGAGCTGTGTTAGTGCGGGCAGCCCCGTGCCCAGTAAAAAGAAAGAAAGAAAGAAAACGGACAACCCAAGGGAATGCAATTCTTACACACCGAAAAATTCTTTTCCCTCGCGCGCACGCGGCGAGGCCCAGCCGTAACGCGTAAGTCAGCCCGGCGACTTCGCGGCTGAGCGAGCGCAGCGCAGAAACAGCCTCCTCCCGGCGTGAGGAGAAGGCCCCCGCACGGGGGGTCCCGGCCGACGTCATGCGCGTCCGCCAAGGGTCCGGGGTCGCCCAGGCAAGTGGCCCAAATCCGATGAGTTTTCCAGGTGTGAACAGCTGTTGAGAGGTGTGAATTCATCCCGGGCGGGGTGCGGGGCGGTAGTCCCGCAGAGAAAATTTTGCGTGCTGGGGCACTGAGATCGCAGTTTTATTAGTCCACGGCGGATGCCAGCTGCAGCTGCGAGGAGACACGCAGTGCCTCATTTGAGCATGAATCAGCGTCCTTTCTGCTGGCATCACGCATAGGAGAAGCCGAGAGGCACGAGGTCCTCCAATTTGCCGTACCGACGTCGCGCCTAGAGAAGATCACGGCCGCTGCCAAGCAGGCCAAGCTCGATCTCGACCGCGACCGCGCCTCTGCCGCCCTCCCCCCTGCGCCCGCCGCAGCTGGCCTTGCGTCCGGCGTCGCTGCCACCGGCCCCGCCGGCCTTGCGCCCGGCGCCGCTGCCACCGGCACCGGCACCGGCCCCGCCGCTTCTGACACCGCCGCGTCCGCCGCGCCCGCCGCCGACCCGCCGACGGAGTCGCCGCTCACAATTGCAACACCAATGCTCGAGATCAGCACGAACGTTGTGATCGCCACGTACGACAGCGCGGGTAGGTTCGACTGGTGGTGCGGCCGCGTGCAGCAGAATGCTCTGCAAGTCGGGCGGCAAGAGGGGGAGCTACGTGCGGACCTATCTCCCCGTGCCGTTCGACGAGGCTAAGGCAGCCAACTATAAGATCCACTGCAACTTCTACGCCAAGTCGGGCGCGGACGGCGACTACACCTTCAAGTACAACGTCGACGATTCCGCCCCGTACCACATGGAGTCGGTGCTCGGCCTCCTCGACCTCAACCTCCCCACCGACGAAGGAGTCTACGTGCCGCGCGATCAACAGGCCGGCTGGAAGTTTGACGAGGCGCTTAAACTGATCACGCCGGCCGCGGACTCTGCTCCCCACCGCAAGCGGAGTACCGCCGACGACGAGGCTGGCGGCTCCTCTGGCGCGAAGAAGCGCGCCCTGACGCTCACACGCAAGGGCGGGACGCTTGGAATCTCTGTCGACCCCAACAACCACCAAATCACCAACGTGGTCGAGGGTGGCGCTGGCGACACCGCCGGGCTTTGCGTGGGCGACTTCATCGCCGAGGTCAACGGCAAGTCGACGACCGGCGGCTCCTTTGGCAAGCTGCTGCCTGCTGCAGCGACGGCGGAGATTAGGCTGCGGCTCATCCGAGTGCAGGTGGTTGAGCCCGACCATCTACACCTCCCTGACCTACTAGCATAAGTGTCTTCCCCTCCCCCTCGCACACAGGATTGACGCTGCTCTCGGCGCTCGCTCCCTCCTCGCCGCCGCGGACCAGGCGTGCCCGCGGGGGCTCTGCAGAGAGCCAGATCCGCGCGGTCGGACCGACTTTTTTCAGACTGGACTATTCTGGATACTAAGGGTATGTGCAGCTAGATCTCACTGAGCTGAGCTCATATCTGCCCTCAGTATCCTGTTTTGAGTTCGGGAATGCCTTCAGTATCCTGTTTCCGTGTACGGAGGGCCGCGTCCGGACGCGCATGACGTCGGCCGGGACCCCCCGTGCGGGGGCCTTCCGTGAGGAAGATGCGGATGCCCCGCTCCTTCTCCATCCGCTCCAGCTCTTGCCGGCGGAGGAGCTTGGGCAGCATCGCTTCGGAGCCGTCGGCGCGCAAGGAACTCGGCGCGGAGCAGCTTGATGGCGCCCGAGCGGAGGACGGCGACGAGCGTCGAGGGCCGCCAGCAGCGGGATGCCCTTGTGGTCGGCGGCGGTTAGCGCAGCTGACTGCTCGTCCCGGCTCCCATCCTGCATCCATTGACGAGCAAATCACCTTTTTACGGCGTCTCTTCAGAAAAAAACACGCAAAAAAGGGAGGACGGCACGCCGCCACCACACAGGGCTTATAATGAGCCTGTCTGGTGGGAGATGAGTGATTCCCGGTGTTAAATTCTTCTTTCGAAACTTCCCACTCGACGGGCGCTTTGTGAACGTTCGCCCCGTCTCACCAACCCAACCACGCTCGACCACACCGCTGTGCCGAGCCCGACGCATATATGCTCTTTGTCGTCATCACAACTGCCGCCTCGCCCGGAGCTGCGCTGACGATGCCCCAAGACCACGCAACACTTGATGGTGCTGGCCCTGACCGGTCCACGCTCTTTGCAAGTACCCCTGCCGGGAATGCGCTTCTCGGCGGCGCAAGCTCCGCTGGCTGCACTGCGGATGATGTTCACTATAACCAAAAGCAAGGCACGTGCAACTGGGACGGCGAGTACAACTATGAAGGCTCAAGCGTTCAAGGTGCTGTTCCTGGTGCGGCTAGAAGCAGAAGCAGAGGACAGAGTTAGGTCACAATAACCCAAGGTCACGAGAGACACACTCGGCCCCGGCAGCCTACTGGGCGCGTATCGCGAGGAGCCCCTGCCACGCTTCTCCCGCTAGGCTGTGGGTACCAGATCCAAGGTTGGGCTGGCGACACATACTACACCGTGGGACCAATGTGCTGCGATGTCGTCGCATCGGCCGGCTTTGGTGTCGACGACTACTACTGGTGCGGGGGCCTGGGAGGCGCCCAGCTCTGCTCCCACGACGTGCAGTGCAACGATGGGGAGTGCTCGGACGGTGTGTGCACAGGTATGTCCGGCTGAGGCGTCTGCATGGCACACGTCGCTCGACGGGGCTGACCAGGGGGGAGGGGGGTGCGCGCGGTCGCGCAGGGCCAATGTGTATATAATAGCAAAAGCAATCTCGCCGGCCGCAACGCGCAAGGCACGGACACATATCTAGTCTGCGCGCCGGGATATTCTTTGCGCTTTTCGTGCCAAAAAAGTCATTACAAAAGAAGCCGCCCACGGTCACACCTCCACGGCGGCTCGGCTGGGCGGCGCTGCGCCTGCTGCGTCATCTTCGGCGGGCCGGTCTGGGGCGGCCTTGCTGTGGCCCTTGGTGGCGTGGTAGACGCCGGTGCCTGCGGTGGCGAGGAGCACGCCCAGCATGTTGAGCAGCGTGAGCTCGTCGTGGAGGACGAGCACTGCGCCGACGATGGTGAGCAGCTCTCTGGCCGAGGCAAAGATGGCCACCGTGAGCGCCGAGGTGAGGCGCACGAGGGAGAACTCGGCCAGCTGCACGACAAAGACGCAACCGCTGACCGCAAACAGGTACCCGCACAGCTCGGACGCCGGCGGCCGAGCGGGCACGAAGGGTGATAGATCGTCCGCCAGACGGGTGGCCCCAGCCGGTAGGACTGCCCTCGCAGCTCTCTCAACCGGCCGCGCGCGGAAGGCCCGAAAGCCATCCACCTGCGGGCAGCAGCGGGCGGCTCAGTGCGGCACGGCTTGGCCGGCCTGGCGGGCAGCGGCGAAGGAAGCCCCCTCCCTCGAAGGCCACAGCGCACAGGAGCGCGCCCAGAGCG